CAATAATCAAACATACAAAGGCAAACTTAAGACAAAAGGTAACATTTATTCATGCTTAACTTGCACAAATGAAAACTGAATTCTCAGTGACTTCAAGAATAATAGATTCAAGTTATCAAAAAATAAATTAAAAGTGCTGCTTAGGGTTGGGCATCGAGAATGGAATCGTGAGGTACCCAAAGATTCACATCCCTAGTCGTTATGGCTCAGGCAGGATGAAGATGAGGTCTCCGCACAGTATGTGCTGCTCCTAAGAATCACCGGTCCAAACCTCCCGATGGACACATCCCCGGCAACGCTGAGCACAGCGAGTCTTCTGACCGTTTCATTTTTAATTCCAGCCAGGACAAAACAGGAGGTTTTTTTTCTTGTGTTCATTGAAAAGTAAAGATTTGTTACTTCTTATTTGATCTGCTGGTAAAAAGGACAAACATCAGCTTGACACTTCACTGGTGCACAATGCGTTATGGAGAAAACAACACACAAACACAATAATTTATTATATCCTCGATTACTTTATTGCAAACAATTCGGCGAATGAATATTAAAACAACCTTTGAGAGAATCCCTATACGTCTTTCATGGGAACAATATGCATGACGACTTCCCCTATTAGTCTCTGAACAACAACGTTATGGTTGAACAACAAGTTTTACTGTCGCCATAAAATTTGCAATCATAAAATTTGCGATCATAAAATTTTATTTCTATTTTTATTAATAAAAAGATCCTCACAGCGATGGCAGGCAGCTTTTCAAAATGCGCAAAACATCAGGTGTAAGTGGAAATAAAAGATACATGGGAAAGTTGTATAGGATATTTATAAGTTTGATAGGCAATCTTATCTTCCTGTCTTTTATTTTGAAGTTACTTCTGCCTCTGATGTCACCGCAGTTCTACTTTTTGTCCAAAACAATAAATGAAAAAATGAATCTGCAAAAAACCAAAGTCGGGTTTTTCCATTTTTATTTCCAAAACAGAAAAATGCTGTTTTTTTTGTTTATCTGTATTTGTGTTTTTCGTTTTTTGTTTCAAAACAGAAAAATGGATTTAATTTTTTGTTTTTTTGATTTTGTTTTGAAATGGAATAATGAAAGAACGAACCATGCACGGATTCGACTCGTTTTCCGATTTCCTGTTTAAATGGAAAATGGAAAAAACAGATAACGGGCCGGATTCCAGCCTTTCATACACTTTCAATATTTTCGTCTCTCCGGAAGCCAAGTTTTTTCTTTTGCAAGCACTGGTTTCTTGTTGGACCAGTCAGAGTGACAACTACATCCGGTTCATGGAAGCTAACGCTTTGGCTAACAACTGCTGCGTGTGGAGGCTGCAAATTTGGAGAAATTGTTCAATATGAGGTAAGTTGTGCTAAGGTAACAATACGTGCCAGCTTACTGTTTGCTTCTACAGCTGACATATTGGAATAGACTTCATGTGGCGAGTAATTTTTACGTTATTTGAAGATTTATGTTTGTCGCGACTCACGAATTTGCCACATTCAGCCATAACGGCAGCATAGAAATAATGCTGTATTTCGGTGGATTTCAGCACTCACATGCATTTGCTTTGGGAAATGCCACTCTAGTTAATTTCTATAAACATCATAAAAGTAGCATGCTGGGATATAAATGCATTGTTTGTACTTTTCCACAACACAGAACAAAATGAATGCATCAATGTTCTATGGGAAGCGACCAGGTGGACTTCAAACCAGGGTTCCATCAGTCGAAAGTGATGACAGCTGTCTTGACAGTGGGGATAGTGATGAAGACTACACTCCTACACCACATCGGCACTATCCACTAAGCTACCGACACCCCTATTGCTGCCGGTTTCATCACCTGGTCAGGAGTGTAGTCTGTACGCAGCATGCACAGACCCCATGCACAGAGGCACCACCTCTCTGCAGCGGTCACGGCCTCGATCCCGGCCTGTGTCATTCCCCCATTCTCTATTTCCCCACTTCATGCTGTCCTAAAGCAACAGGCCAAATAGATAATCTTATAAAAAACAGCAGTAATAATGCTATAATTTCGTGTAGAGTTTTAGCTTTTTGCGGCTTACACATGGCCATATGTTTGTGAATGTAACCATGTGTACAAGATGTGTATATAATATAAAAATGCACTCTTAATACAGTGATTTCTTTTTTCTACACCAGGTGATGAAAACAGCAGTAGTACTGACAACAGGAGAAGCAGTGATGAAGACTCTGATGGAAATCACGATGCTCTTCCTAGCACCAGTGTTCTAAGTGAAAAGCTTGAGCTCTGTTTCACATTGGATTATAATAGTTGGTGTTATAGTCAGGACATTGAAAATAATTGTGTGGCATCAATAAAATCTACATACCTGAGACGGAAAAATGTGTTTTAATATTATTTTTTCTTTTTTTTTTTGACCATTTTTTTCCATTTATGTCTGTTGTTGCTAATTTGTATCATATCTAAATGTATATCTATTCTATGTATACATCTATAACAATCTCCACTTAATTTAACATCAGCTTGAAAGCAAAAGCACATATAATTTTTTTTTAATATATAATTGTAAATACATTCAGGCATCAAGGGGATAAAGGGACTGTTTCATTTATTGGTTTATTTTGTCAGGACAGTGCATATTAATGAACAGTACATACATGAGGTAATGTAAATATGCCAGAGTTAGCATGCATGCTAAATTTCATCCGCAGTCCCCAAACAATAAACATAAAAAATGGTCAGCACATTACAATACAAAAGACCAATGTAAACAGTGTACATGTACAAACATGCATAAATACCTACAAGTTCATGTACACATACACACACATATAAATAACTACACACATACAAAAGACAAGCCAGATTAAGAATTCTCACAGGTTTGATTGTCTAGGATCCAATTTTTAAGTTACATGTTAAAAGACCCAAAAGATGGAAACTCTGTCATCTTGACTGGTAACTTGTTCCAGTTTAAACTTCCCTGAACTGACAGAACATTCTGAGCGAAGGTTGATCGTCTAAACTGCACCTCACAAACCCCTCTGGTAGCAGCCCTTGTCCCAATGCCCCTGTCGGGCTTTCTTTTTATGAATGAATTCTACCAGAGGTGGCGCGCATAGTCCATGTAGAACTTTGTAGATGACACATGCCTGTTTAAAAAGCTTAAAATGATCAAAACTAAAAAAATCATACTTTTTTAAGATGTTGCAGTGATGGTGTGAGTGTGGGTTTTTATCAAATACCTTAAATGCTCTCTTGCATAATTGTTCAATGGGTTTGAGTGTTGTCACACCTGTGAAAGACCAGTTTGTGAAGCAGTAGTTGATGTGAGATAAAATCATACAGTACAGGTACGTCCTAGTGGCACCGACTGTCAGAAAGGGTCTGATTTCTTTAAAATTTTGTAGATTAAATTTGAAGGTGTTAGAGACCTTCTTGATATGAGATTTAAAAGTGAGGGTCGAGTCCAGTGTCTTGACCTCAACTATCATGTGAGTGTAGTCAACAACTGGGGGTGCTGTCAGATATGGGTAAAATATGGATAAAATTAATTTTCACCCATTTAGAAATTAGATATTTAAAATCTGA